TGAATACTGTACAAAAAGACAAAAACAGAATGGTTGTATGGTTTCTACTGAATGTGTATCACTTTCATACCATCAGAAAGCAAAAAAAAAAATCATAAGTCAAATCATTGTAAATCAGGAACCATCTGTATATAGATATATAAAAGGGGATTTATTATGAGAATTGGCTTATGCAATTATGGAGTGCAAGAAGTCCCACGGTATGCCATCTGTAAGCTGGATAACCAGGAAAGCAGCTGGTATCATTCAGTCTGTGAGGGAAGGCCTGAGAACCAAGGAGCCAATGGTGTTACTCTCAGTCCGAAGCCAAAGGCCTGAGAACCTGGGGAGAAGGAAGGATGCTAGTTTACCTCCTGAAGTTCAAAGGCTTGAGAGCCAACGGAGCTCTGATGCCCAGGGGCAGGAGACCAATGGCCCAGCTCCCAAAGAAAAAGTGAATTTGCCCTTCCTCCACCTTTTTGTTTTTTACTTTGAGTTCTACTATAATGCCCAGAAAAAAAAAAATGTTTTCATCCTTAAAGCAGGCAATCAATTTAGTTATATTTAAATTATTAGTTCTGCCTGACCTTCTGTGAATGATGGCTGTAATCTCAATTTAGTTCCTTAAAACTTAACTCCATTGTTTGGGTCGGTCTCATACATATAAAGTTAGGCTGAGACTTGTGTAGTTTCATTTCCAAAATTAAAGGTTCTTTCCATAACTCTCTTCCTTCAACCCATACCCCTAGTCCATCTATTTCCTTCCTTATTTCCAGTGGCCAGAAAAAAAGGCTGGGTTGTTGCAACTTTGGCTATCCACCCTGTTCCACTCTATCGCTGTGGTTCACCTTCAAGTACTGCCAAAGGGGGAAAAAAACCTGAAAACTCACCCTCATACTGGTTTCTTCTCCACATTTTCATAGTCTTTTTACTTTTATTAACTATACCTACTAAAGAAAAGGTAGGTGTCTTATTTTGTCTAGAGTTCATATTTGTTATCAGTAGGAGAGTTGGACTATTAGGGGCCCATACAACCATACCAGAATGGAAATTGCACTGCTTTCTTTGTAAAGAGTTTTATTCCTTTTATTGCCATATATTCCATAGGGAATTACATTTTAGATTATAGGGAAGGAGAAAGAGTTGTAACAAAAGAAATGGTATTCAATTATTTGTCCTACTCCTCTATACTTTGAGCCTCATATGATATACAGAAAAGAAAGTCTGAGTTTAAGTTCTATTTGAAATTAATTAGCTGTTTGTGCTTGGAAAAGTCACTTTGCTTCTTAGAGCATCAATTTATTTAGGATTACATTATCAGAACTCTGTGTGGAAATTTTATAAACTGCAGATTTCTGTAGAAAATAAGGGGTTATTATACTCTGAATCCTGACACAGCTATCTGAAAGAGAATTTTGTTTACTGTCTTTGGTTATTAAGAAACATTTCAGCATTCATGCATTCGTTTTTAAAAGCTAGAAGAGGAACTTAAGAAGCATGTAGGGTTTGGGTTTTTGTCTACGTTGCTGCCACCCTCATAGTTGAAGCTAAAATAATAACCCTTTGCTGATCTATCATAGCCCTGAGCATATTTCTCTTTGCCTGGATTTCAGTCAGGCTTGGAATTAGGATCTAAATTAGAAATTATTCTATCTGATTATTAACTTACAGATCTGTTTCATTTTTTAGTGAAAGCAATTAAGAATATGATGAACTCAGAGTAAAAGAGACTATTTGAAAGCTCTTTATTATCCTCATCACTTAGAAAAATAGCTATGCATAAAATACATCTGAAATTTATGGATTTAAGACTAAAACCACTGTGACCATATTTTTTTTATCTTAATAAGCGTTTTACTTTTCAGTAAATGAGTAAGGAGTGATTTTTAAATTACATTTGATTCCCTCATCCAGTTACTTTTATTTCTGCCTCCTCACAACATATGCATTTGTTTATTAGAGTTTGTATCCAGATATTACATATAACTTGTAAAAAAAACTAAGATGAAAATAAGTTATTCAGGATTTCAAGTCTTAAGTTTCACTTAATCTTATGGAGAAAAGAATAGAAAGAAAGCAAATGACTTTTAAAAATATAAGAGTTATAAATTTTATTCCCTTTTTGATATACGGATACTGTTTTAGACTGGACTTTGAAATTATATGATAATAGCTGGCACTTTTCATGAAGCATTATCAAGTCAATTTCCTTGGTAAAACCATTTAGCAATGAATACTAAAATACATTCTGCCTCAAAGTATTTTGTGAGCTAATTCATGCATACTGTATTAGAAATTTCACATTTGGGTGGTATATATAAATGTAGTATGATAAATACCAAAAAATGATTTTTGAGAACCTCAGAATTTCAATGGATGTGAATAATTTATTTTCTTTTTTATTTCATATTTTCAAAGAACTTGTCCATAATTCTCACTTTAATATAATTTCATCATAATTTTTACTCATAATTTTTATTAGTAACAATCATGTCTGGAACCACAATACATGATTTGTTATATTATTATGATCTGTATATTTGTTTCTGCTCTTTGAAATTGTTTAATATATAGGAAGATCCTAGAAGTGAAGCCCGAAGTTTCTGGGTGTCTACTCTGAGTTTTGTTGAGTGTTTTTTGATAAACCAAGTAAATTCTGCTTTCCTACTACCTCTATATAGAGAAACTTTGTTATCATTACTATAAAAGAAGTTTGAATTAAAACTCTTTGAAAAGTGTTATCTAATTCTTCTATGATGTTTTGTGCATGGAGATTTTTTCAGTATATAAAATATTGATGTTGATAGTACTAGCCTATTGAATTCTGATAAAACAGTGAACTGAAATAGTATAAAAGTCCTCCCAATACAAGAAACTAAAGATTCTGTATTTAAAACAACAATATATAAAATGCATAGCTGAACTAAGAAGATGGGTAAAAAAATCCCCATGTGCTAGAATTGAAGAGTGTTACAGAAACCATAGAGTAGTTGAATAGAAGACCCAGTATGTCTAACACTCGGATTTTAATGAAGTCACTTTACCTTGACCAAGTAAAAACTTGAAAAAGAGATTGATGCATAGAGCTGGGGCGCTAAGAGGGTTGAAACCTCAGTGAAAGGGTAAACTAAAATAAAGTCTACACACTGACACGGGAAAGAGATAGACAATGATGAAGCTTCTATCTGCCTAGATTCTGGGTGGGAAAAAAAGGAGAACTTGCAAACACACACCCAACTCTGAATATTAAATTCCTAATAATTGCAAGAGGTGGAAACCCCCATCTCAATAATTCAGATAAAAATTGGTCCCAAACTAATGTATCCCTAACAAAAGCAAATATAAAACCACTCTAAAGAGACATTCTACAATCCATGTCAAAAGAAATCTCACAGTTTTACATAGATTCTTATTATCAGACCTTTATCAGAAGTGTAGGGAGCAAATATTTTCTCCCATTCTCTAAATAGACAATTTATTGTCTATTTGCTTTAATGATAGTTTCCTTGGCTGTGCAGAAGCTTTTTAATTTGATCAAATACCATTTATTTTTGTTGCTGCGGTAATTGCTTTCGGGGTCTTCTTCAATAATTCTTTGCCTAGGCCAATGTTTGGAAGGGTTTTCTCAACATCTTCTTTTAGGATTCTTAAGGTTTCATGCCTTAAGTTTAAGGTTCCAGGTTAGCCATTTTGAATAGATTTTTGTGAGACATGAGAGGTAGGGATATTGATTCATTCTTCTGCATGTAGCTATTCTGTTTTCCCAGCACCATTTATTGAAGATAGATTCTTTCCCCCAATGTATATTTTTTGTCTGCTTTATCAAAGATTAGGTTACCATATGCAGATGGTTTTATCTCTGGAATCTCGGTCTTATTCCAGATATCGATACTTCTGTTCTTGTGCCAATACCAGGATGATTTCATTGTTATTGCTTTATAGTACAGCTTGAAGTCAGGAAGGCTGATGCCTCCTAGTTTGCTCTTTTTACTTAAAATTGCTTTGGCTATATGAGGTTTTTCTGGTTCACCTATCTAGAACTCAAAAAAATTAACAAGAAAAAATCAAACAACCTCATCAAGAAATGGGCAATGGAAATGAACAGAAACTTTTCCAAAAAAGACAGAATAATGGCCTGAAAACATATTAAAAAATGCTCAAGATCTCTAATCATTAGAGAAATGCAAATCAAAACCACAATGAGATATCACCTAACCCCACTAAGATTGGCCTCTATCAAGAAATCCCAAAACATCAAACGCTGGCGAGGTTGTGGAGAGAATGGAACACTCTTACACTGCTGATGGGACTGCAAATTAGTGCAACCTTTGTGGAAAAGAATTTGGAGATAGCTCAAAGAGCTAAAAATAGAAATACCATTCGACCTAGCAATAGCATTGTTAGGCATCTACCCAAAAGAGCATAAGACATTCTATTATAAAGACATCTGCGCTCGAATGTTTATGACAGCACAGTTCACTTTACAAAGGCATGGAAACAACCCAAGTGCCCATCAATTCATGAGTGGATTATTAAAATTTGGTATATGTTTACAATGGAATATTACTCAATTCTAAGAAACGACAGCAAGCTAGCACCGCTTATATTATCCTGGATTAAGCTTAAGCCCATTATCCAAAGTGAGGTGACACAAGATCAGAAAAACGGGCTCCACATGTACTCGCCGTCAAATTGGTACTGACTAATTAACACTATGGTGCTCAAAATGTGTTGGTGTACACCAGGGATTCGGGATTGAGGGAGGTAGACCCACATCTGAGGGATGTGGTGAGCATTGTGGAGTTGAAGGGTATACCTCTAAAACTTGCTAGGGAGAGGCAAAGGTATAAAATGTAACCAAAATGTTAAAAAAACACAATAAAACATTTATTGGGTGTTGGGTAGGTGGGAAGAGGAAGGAGGGGATGGGTATATACGTACATAATGAGCATGATGTGCACCATCTGGGGGATGAACACGCTTAAAGCTCTGACTCCAGTGGGGGAGGGGAGGCAAAGGCAATATAGATAATCTTAACATTTGTACCTCCATAATATGCTGAAATAAAAATAAATAAATTTAAAAAATAAAAAAAACCAAAGGTCAAGTAGTCAGAAACATGGTAAAAAATAATAATCTTGAAAGATTTAATTGGTGAGAAGAGCCTAATGTTCTATTATGTTAAATTTTGTTTTTAAAAATAAAAAAAAGAAATCTCACAGAAGAAGGCCTTTTGAAATGATATTACAATAAAAATAATTTGCAGAAAGTTAGTAAGAACTAAAGAGTGAATTAGAGAATTGAAAGTGAAAGATAAATTGGAAAAAATTATCTGTAATGTAGAAGAGAGAATGAGAAAGACAGAGGACAGGTTTAGAGACAGAGAGGATAGAATAAGAATTCCCAGTATATGTTTAAGACAATATAGAAAATAAGGGAGCCTACATTTGAAGAGACTTTGGTTGAAAATGCTCAGAATTAAAATTCTATATATTCATAAAGCACAAGTTATATAAAGTACAAATAATTCCACATTTAGATACATTTTAGTGAAACTTCAGAACATCACATCAAAGAGAATATGTAAAATACAACTAAATAGAAAAGACATATTTAAAAACTATTGAAATTGGACTATTACAGATAGCTCCACCAAAACAATGGAGGTCAAGATTTTGAAATATCTTCACAGTGTGGAGAAAAAAATAACTGTCAATTTATAATTCTCTACCCAGCTAATCTATCAAGAGTAAGGGTCACAGAAAATTTCAAATAAGGACTGAAACAGCTTCCCCCTGACAGGCCTCTCCTTCAGGAAGAAGGATTTTAAATCGTTGAAAAGGTATAATATAAGAATCAATAGTGATCAAACTATTGAGAAATGTGTGAGTAAATTCAAACTTAAAGTATTCTTATAATCTTCCTGTTGTTTGTGAAAAAAGTAAAACTATTTATTAAACTTTAAGTCAAATTTAGAAGTTTAATTTAACCATAAAAAGAATATAAACTATATGTAAAACCATGAAACTAGCAGTAGTGACAAAAAAATACATCATTTTCCACTAAAATTAGTTCAATGGAAGTATAGAAAAGAAAAAATAACAAAGAATGTTACAGAAAGCATAAAGTTAAATATGTATATATACAAAATCATTGAATGCATATAGTAAAATTAGGCAATATCATAAGTGTATTAGATGATTTCTGACTTAATCTTTATAATGATATTGAGTAAGAAATGTAATTATTCTGTCTGAAACATCAGGAAATTGACTCGTAAATGATTTCAATAAATTGCTCAAACTCACACAGCTAGTAAGCAGTAAACTCATTCTTATCACAGACTATGAGATCAAGTGGTGGAATGCATACAAAATACCCTAGGAAGAAAAAGTAAAACAGGTTAGCAATCATTCTCTGGAATCCAAACAGAAGAGCCAAATACACTCATACTAAAACAGATACAGTTACAGCAATACAGGAGGCGTTTAAATCTCTGAAAACTTGAAGAAAATAGTTAATTATCATTCTGAGATAATTACTGCTGTAAATTCAGCCATCCAGTCTCTGTTTTTACAACCTGGCATTTTCCACAGAAAAGAATAATCGGCTTTCCTAAAGAATTTTATTTTCCAGGATCTTCCACGGGTTCTGCCAGCACAGTCCTGACTCACCAGCTGGGGCTCCCTGAGGAGAGACAGGAGAAGAGAGAATCCCCAATGCATGTGTTCCAACAAACTTCTTGGAACTACTTGTGCATTTTGTCATGACAATTAGGTTGTGTAGTTACACAAAATATTCCGAACATCTTAATTAAGTTAAATTCCAAGAAATTAAACTTAAAAAGACCTGAGATGCAGAGTGTTTCTTCCAAGGTAGCTTGAAATAGATGATAAGAGAGGGTAGCAAGCAAATAAAGTCTGACTAATACAAATTCAATAAATTTGGATGCTTAAATTATAGCTTTAACAATGAGGATGAAACAATAGTGCAAAAAATTTAATGGTTATGGAAACAAAAAGAAAAGAGGAATGACAAGGAAGGTAATATTCGTAATGATACAAAAAGCACCTAAGATTACCACATGCCAGAAGTGGAAGGTATTTTATAGACAATCCAGATAAACCAGACCAATCCCTTTATTTTATAAATGGGGTATATTTAATGTTGTTAATTTATTTATTATCAGATAAACCATGATACCTCTAAGAATCTTCATATTTTATGAAAGAATATATATCATAGGTATTTCTTCTTGTGCTTTTTCTTTTCACATAACAACATTTAAATATTTTAATGTTATATAAACTGATACAACCATACTGAATGTATTATCACCCTAAATCACATCCAAAGTCTTAAATAATGATTTGAACTTTATAATTCTGGATGAGCCACATCATTAAGTAAAATTCAAAAACACTATTTTGATGCTTAACACTTACAGGCACTATGTTTAACTCTACAGAGGAACCATTTAATGAATTTAAAAGGTTCTCAACTTCTGGTGATTCACAATTAGTCAAAGCACTTTAAGTATAGGCAAACATTACAGACATTACAGGAAGAATAATTTTAAAAAATACAAACAAATAAATAAAGACATTTTTAAAGGGTCATTAAGAAAAGAGTTCATAATGAGCTTACTTCTTTTTAGACATTTTAAGAAAATCTAATGAAATTGAATTGAGAAAGGACCTTCAAGGAATAGTAAAACTTCAGATGTAGATTGGGAAAGTAGGCATTTAAGATTGAAATATACACACAAAGGCAGAGAGATGGGAAAGTCTAGAATGTTTTTTAGGAAAGACAAAAATATTGGCTGCACATGTTCAGAGTGAGGGAGAGAAGATGCAGTTGGCTTCCTGATTTCAGTGCTTGCTCTATACACACCTTTTCTTGGAGGTCACTTGTGTATCCAGCCCTTACCCATGGCTTTCTCTTGGGTAAACATAATTATTACCAGGTGTTCTTGTCTCCAAGTGCCCCTCATTGGATTAAAGATTAGCTATTCCATAGTAACTGCCAAAAACTTGTATGTTGGCTCCACAAAGAGAAACTGTGGGGCTCCTAAGAAAATAAATTTAAAAAAAGCTTGTCCCTAGAGCTACCTCAGTCCTTGAGTTGTTCTACTTATAAACCTTCTTTATCCTGAGTAACCAGGGAGTCTCTGATTCCCAAATCAAAAGGAACTGGCTAATTGAGGAACTAAGAAAGCTAGTGGGAAATTAGGCCACATTTTAGAGTACCTCTCAGAGCAGCTGGGTATTTTAGATTGTACTATATATATTCATAGCTGATGGTTTAATAATTACCATGGGAACTTGTAAGAAAGGCACAGAGATTCTGACTCACTAGATTGAGGAGAGAACTAAGAATCTACCTTGTTCATAGACTTCCAAGAGAATTCCAAATCACAGCGTTCATGGACTACAGCTTCAGAAATTTTGAGGTTAGCTGTGGCAGCACATATATTTACATTAGAACAATACAGAGAAGATTAGCATTGCTGAACTGACCAATAATGAGCAAAGATATCGAAGTGGTAATAATAATAATAATAAAATCTCCAATGAAAAAAAGCCCTGGACCAGATGGATTCATAGCTAAATTTTACCAGACCTGCAAAGAAGAGCTGGTCCCCCTACTGCAGAAATTATTCCACAACATCAAGAAGGAGGGAATCCTCCCCAACTCATTCTACAAAGCCAGTATCACCTTGATACAAAAGCCAGGAAAGGACACAACAAAAAAAGAAAATTATGGGTCAATATGTCTTGTGAAAATGGATGCAAAAACCCTCAATAAAATACTAGCTAACCATATTCAACCGCACATCAAAAAAATAATCCACCATGATCAAGTGGGCTTCATACTAGGGATGCAAGGATGGTTCAACATATGTAAATCAATAAATATGTTTCACCACATAAACAAAACCAAAAAAAAAAAAAAGACCATATGATCATCTAAATAGGTGCAGAAGAAACATTGACAAAATTCAGCACACTTTCATCATAAAAACCCTCAACAAACTAGGCAGAGAAGGAACATATCTCAAAATGATAAAAGCCCACAGCCAACATCTTACTGAATGTGGAGAAGTTGAAAGCATTCCCACTAAGAACTGGAACAAGACAAGTGTGCCCACTGTAAATACTTCCATTCAACATAGTGCTGGAAGTCCTAGCCACAGCAATCGAGCAAGAGAAAGAAATAAAGGCTATCCAAATCAGGAAAGAGGAGATCAAACTATCAATTTTTGCTGATGATATGCTCTTTTATCTAGAAAACCCCAAAGATTCCACCAAGAGACTCCTGAATTTGATAAATAAATTCAGCAAAGTCTCAGGTTACAAAATCAGTGTACACAAATCAGTAGCATTTCTGTATACCAATAACAGTCAAGCTGTTATAGGTCAGATCAAAGATTCCATATGATTCACAATAGCTATAAGAAAATAAAATACTTAGAAATATAGTTAACCAAGGAGGTGAAAGATATCTACAAAGAGAACTATGAAACACTGAGGAAAGAAATCATATGTGACACAAATGAATGGAAATACATATCATGCTCATAAATTGGTAGAATCAACATTGTTAAAATGTCCATACTACCCAAAGTGATTTACAGATTCAATGCACTCTTCATCAAAATACCAATGTCGTATTTCACAGATCTATAAAAAATAATTCTATGCTTTGTTTGGAACCAGAAAAGAGCCTGGATAGCCAAAGAAATCTTCAGCAAAAAGAACAAATTTGGAAGCATCACATTATCAGACTTCCAACTATACTACAAAGCTATAGTAACCAAAACATCATAGTGTTGGCACAAAAATAAAGACATAGACCAATGGTCCAGAACAGAACCTAGATATAAAACTGTCCACATACAGCCAACTGATCTTTGACAAAACAGACAACAATATACACTGTGGAAAAGAAGCCCTATAATTGTGCTGAGAAAATTGGATAGCCACATGCAGAAGACTGAAACAGGATCCATATCTCTCACTATCCACAGAAATTAATTCAAGATAGATAAAAGACTTAAATGTAAGGCATTAAACCATAAGAATTCTAGAAGAAAATTTATGAAAAACTCTTCTAGATGTTGGCCTAGGCAAAGAATTTATGACTGAAACCCCAATGGCAATTACAGCAACAACAAAAATAAATAAATGGGACTTGATTAAATTAAAAGGCTTTTGCAAAGCTAAGAAAATAATCAACAGAGCAAATTGACAACTTACAGAATAGGAGAAAAAATTTACAAACTACATATCTGATAAAGGGCTAATATCCAGAATCTACAAACAAAGAACTCAAAAAAATCAGCAAGAAGAAACAAGCAGCCCCATTAAAAAATGGACAAAAGACATGAACAGAAGTTTTTCAAAATAATACAGACAGATAGCCAACAAACATAAGAAAAAAGTGCTCAACATCACTAATCATCAGGAACATGCAAATTGAAACCACAATGAGATATCTATCATCTTACTCCTGTTAGAATGGCTTTTTATTAAAAAGTCCAAAAGCAATAGATGATGGTGCAGATGCAGAGAGAAAGGAACATTTATACACTGTTGGTGGGATTGCAAATTAGCACACCCCCATGGAAAATAGTATAAAGATTTCTCAAAGAATTAAAAGTAGACTTGCCTACTATTCGATCAAGCAACCCCACTATTGGGTTTCTACTCAAAGAAAAAAAAAAAAGTCATTTTATCAAAAAGACATTTGCACTCAAATGTTTGTTGCAGCAAAATTCACAATTGTAAAGATTTGTAATCAACCCAAGTGCCCATCATTTCATGATGAATCAATACCCTTTGCAACAATTTGGATGAAACTGGAGACCATTATCCTAAGTGAAGTATCTAAAGAATGGAAAAACAAACACCACATGTGCTTGCTATTAAATTGGAACTAAGCAATGAGTGCACATGTGTCCAGAGGGAAGTAAAACTCAGTGGAAATCAAGCAGGTGAGAGGAGGGCAGAGGAGATGGGCAAAAATCTACTTAAAGGGTACAATGAACACTATCTGGGTAATAAGCACACTTATAACCATGACTCAAGCGTTACAAAAGTGATCCATATAATGAAAAACATTTGTACCCCCACAATGTTAATGTTTTGAAATTTAAAAAAGAGACTTGATGTACAATTTTTAGGGGTAGGGAATTCCCATAATAATAACCTGTTTTATCTTGACAAGCAAATGCAAAGAAAGAGACCAGTATTTAAGCTATTAGAATATACTAGATGGGAGATAAGTAATTACAGAAAAAGATGTCTGTAGATACAACAAATAATCCTTGATAAGTTTCCTCTATTATAATTAAAACTATATATACAATCTCAGTTTTTCATCTGTGTCCTCTTACTTTCCTCCCTCATTTTGTATGTCTTGTCTATAACAATACAACCGAGCATAGTTCTAAAGGTGAACTTGAAGATTAGCACATCTGATCTTTGGATCCAGTGATCCATTAATATTAGCTCAGCAGATTGGTTTGGGATTTTTATGGTGGCAGGGAGGAAAGAGACATTCTATTGCTTTGCCAGCAGAGAAGGAGGATGGAGACTTCTGTCTGAAATGCCATCATCCTTCTAATAAACAGAAATACATTTTTTCAGGCCATTCCCTCTGTTACATATTCCCCACTCTCGATACTTCCCTTCCATATCTATGGGAGGAGAGGTGACTACTTTGTTACATATTCCCTCTTGTCAATTTTACCCTTCCATATTTATGGGGGAGGGGGGATATAACTCAGCAAATTGTTAAGACAACTCCTAAAAGACTACAGGTTTACCCCAAAAGCAAAACATCTTAATGCTGAGAAATCATTTATATAACTAAGGGGCTCTTAAAACTCTTTTAAGGTAAAGATTGGAAAGGGAGAAGAAAATGGAGGTAGTAATAAAAATATTTTTAAAAGTAAGAAAGGCAAAAGCTAGGTACAAGTAGTTCTGTAATGAAGCTTTAGTTGTAGTAGAGATTTTTGGGGTTTAAATAGCAGTAAAGTAAAACATGATTTTGGTGATTGATAGGTAACAGGGAGTTGGAAATGGTGACCTGGGTAAAGTACAGCTCGGACTCCAGTATTTCTAATGTATTTCTACTTATTAAATGTGTTTTCAAGTTGGGGTCTTTATTACAGAAAACTGAGTTTACTTATTAGCCATCAACAGAAAGTGATCTTTGAATTATCATTATTATGTAATTTTGGGTGTTGATTTTATGAACCAAAATCATTTTCTGTGTGTCAGAAGGTTCCCAAAGACACATAATCTATCGGGTTGTGAATCAATTCTCCAAAAGAGAAGAACGAGAACTAGAGAAGTAAGAAGACTTGATAAGTTTGAGATGACTTTCAGTTTTTCAATTAGGACTTTAATGATAAAATAAAAGACACAAAGAAATCCCCCAAAGCAGTTTTGGCTTGAATTAACAGTATATATAATTTCCCAAGTTTCCTGCTTTTCTTTGCACCAATCTGTATTCTCTGTGTTGCAAATAAGAAGCTAAATAACTGGGCTCAGATGTGCTTTTGAAGGCTCCATGTAATAGCCAATCTGCACAGACTTCTAATTGCCTTAACTTGAAAAGGAAGTACACTATTAAAAAAAAAAAAAAGAAAAAGAAGAAGAAGAAAATAACTCCTTGCAAGGCCAAATAGATATCTTGATAGCACTGCAGAATAATTACAGCTTCTTCTCTTTGCTTATGACACCTCTTAAACTTACATCATCCTTTATCATAAGCGTTTCTGAGTGTTCGTAATAGAAGATAGAATAATGACATAAGATTAAAGACATGATGGAAAAAAATATCTATTCACTAAAGGTGACATTAAGGAATAATCTCGTGTCAGTGTCCTAGTTAATGGAAATGTAATTATCTTCATAGCAAATATTAGCACATATGTCTTATGATGCAATGACTTTTAAGAGCTGGTACTTGCGGGACTGGTTGAAAAAGAGTTTTAGTTTAAAAGCTTGTCAGGAATGTGAAAAGTAAAATAAACTAAGTCTACCTATGATGCGCCTGGAAAAATGTTTGAGCTTCTCCTTAATGAATTCATAAGGGACCTGGAACAACTTAATTATAACATAAAATGTCCCTGTTTTAGGAAGAAGACTCAGTAGCACAGCTCTTAGTCATGGAGATTTTATTCTCTGCCAAACTGCTTTTGTATGGTAGAATGTCAGAGCTAGGTTTCACCCATTTGGTGTGAAAAAGCAGAGTGATTCTTGTGAAGGCGAAAAGAAAGGAAAGGAT